ACAATGTCCTCTTTCTCTTGGAGTTGGTAGTTCTTTCCGAGGGCCAGGTATGCTTTGATTTCAGCGGCTGTATTGCCACTTTGCCTAGCCAACTCCGCGCACTTTTTGCTGAGTATTTCAACTTCGTCGTAGCGGTGCAAAGTATTCTTTAGCATGATCATTATCAAGCAACCATCTATCTCTGCTTGTTTGTCACCTTTCTCTTCTGCCATTTCAAGACCTATCTTGATTTCATGGATGGCCTCCTCGTACTGACTCGATTCATAGAATGCCCTCCCACGTAGTAAGTGACACCTCGTTTCTTTTGATTTGTCACCTGTAGCTTGAGCATATTGCATGCATCTATCGTTGTAACAAAATGCATCATCATAGCGACCCTCGGAGCAAGAAACACTTGTAAGTATAAACCAAGCATCTACTTCGACTTCTTGAAAACCACATGGTTCTGCTATATCAAGAGATTTGGTTGCACATTCTTTTGCTTTATCTTGATAGTCCAAGGAGCAGTAAATGCTTCCCTGTAAATTGTACGCATGCGCTTCTGTAGCTTTGTCTTCCTTTTGTTTGGCCATCTTAATGCAATTCTGTGCACTGATGACAGCATCTTCATATTGATTATTTAAGAACTGAGCTTTACCTAGCGCCAAATGAGCCTCCATTTCAGCTTGACCATCACAATCTTTCGCCACCTTTACGCACTTTTCAAGAAGGGCAACGGATTTGGCGTGTTGCCCTAAAGACAGGAAATGTTTTCCAAGGATGAAATAAGCATTTACTTTGCTTCCTTCAGCATCTGCATTCCTTCTAAAAGCAAAGTAAAACATTTCATTTCAGCCATTAAATAACGAGTCATTGACGATATCAACGCATGCATAACGTATATCATTCAAGTTGGTTATCACCTTTTGGAGGTTGATGGTGGGTCTCCTTGCTTGAGGTATTCTTTTCTGCGCTGTAAGTTGTCGTCACTCCTGCTTAAGGGCGACTTACCAAATGCTTGGTAACCTTGCGATATTGGCAGTGTAGGGTCAGAATAGCGACGGTTCATCTTGGCTTTAAAAAGTAGATAAATGAACTAAGCAAGTTGGCGCTCATACAAATTATTTTAGAGAAATATAGTTTTGTAAAAAAAAGTACCTTTTTGTTTCTTTAACAACGTATGATAAACATCTTTGTAATTTTCTTCGCTAATTTCAACTTCAAATTCCACATCACCTGAAGGGTCTTGATTTGCTTCGCCAATCAGTACCGTTTCTAGGTCCTTTGCCAGTTTACCGCTCTTATATCTAGTCAAAAATATGCAGTCGTATAAATGAATAATTGATATAATATTTGTTGACTTTCACTTTCACTTTCATTACTATAAACTGTAATGTACAATGCTTGAGTCTTTCAAGTAGACTGACTCTATGCAAAAATGGATCTCGCGAGATTAAGAAGAGAGAAATCATAGAAACAAATAGTATAAACTGAAAAAATGCACACCTTTTCCATAGTTCATCAAGAGTATCAGTATCTGTAGCTTCAATCACCAATATAACCGATGATCCTTTAAATAAATCCTTGATGAAGGTCCCCACTGGAAGGACCACGCTATTAATCAATGGTGCAACATACTCGGGTTTATCAGAAAAATTCCTGCACACTAATACGGTACCTCCAATCACCGTCGCCCCGGCTAGACACTTAACAATGTTTTCTCTTCTACACCATACATAGATCTCTATAATTTCAACATGACACACAGTGTTAAAAACAGATAGAATGTAACAATAGTATATTTTACATTGATGAATATCATAAGTGAAAAAATTGTTTGTGTAGAGTGTGATATTTTTTAACCTGTGAAATGCATTTTGTCATTAAAATCGCTTTGGTCATGACAAACTCTTTGCAAGTGCAGTCGTCACTGTTAGGGGAAAATAACGGATCCACAATATTTATGCAGGCAAAAGTATCTATTCTTTAAAAAGTTCGACATGAAAACTTTCGGACGGATGTCGTAATACTAAATCAAGAATAGATTCAATCTATTCCAATTTGGAATCCAGACCACTTATGTAAAACAATGTCTTTGATCATGGAATGTTGATTCGAGTTTTGAGTGCGACGCACCAAGCGATACATGCTTCATTTCGGGACAATACTCAATGTACACTGTAAGTCGAATTCGCCTATAAAAGAAGGGCAATGACGTTACTAGTAACTCTTACCTTGATCGTGATGATTTTTCGTAGCACATTTATTCTCTTTCACCTGGTTAATAGGGGCACCGTTGTCATTTCCATGTGTTTCAATATTTTCAATAAGGTCTTCCCGACCCACCGCTTCAAGTAATTCGACAAGAAATTCCAACTTTTCTTCTGACAGGTAGCCCTTTCTTTCCAGTGTTTGACAAAAATTCACCTTAGATCCATTTTTTAAAGTAATTTGGTCATCAGACGACAGATCCAATTCTTCACTGCTTAAGTATACCATCATTTCAAACTCTTCATCTGTAAGCGTCTGAAGACAACGCATAATATGTGCCATTCGCTTCATTTTCTCAGAAAGTTTGGATTTGTTTTCGTTAACTTCCATTGCATTTAATCTAAAATGGTATTTTTTATCTTGTGGTAGCCAAAAATTAACTATTGACCCCGAATGTATGCAAGAAAGATTGATTACCTGTATATCTTAGCGACACTTAACTCGTTTTTGGGTGAGTCTAGATTTTGGATTATCAGTTTGGATTGGTCACTATAAGTCAACAACTAATGAATCATATGAATAAGTAAAAGAATTCATCACGACCCCGACGCAGATCAGAACACTTGCGACGCTTGTTGCTTAGTTTTGCTTATTTTTTTTTTCCTTTTTGCTTAGCAGTTGCTTGTTTTCCACTCTGGCTTTAACGCAAAATCTTTAGACTCTTCGCAGAGTATGGTTAAGCGCAACGGTTGTCTGAAGTCGATGACATCATCAAAATTCGCCGTATTCATCTTTTAGCAATCATATCCAGTAAACTACCTTGAACAAAGTTGTCATGTAAACGCGTGAGAACGTAACTATTATGACTATCACGAGAATTCTGAACAAGTTGAAATATGACAAAGTTTTTATAACTTGAGTAAAATTAAGGGTTTATTGAGAAGGAAGGAAGCCCGAGTTTTTCTTACCTCTCGGGACTATATCATTTTAAAAGAAAAGAATTTTGATTTTAGTTTTTTAAGGCAATTTATTTTAAACTCAATAACTTTTTCATTAAAATCATCTGCATTTTTTACTCATTATTTTTTAAAGTATCATATTTCAATATTATTTGAAATTCCTTGGGATCCCTGTGTTATTACTAATGTTCCTCTTAGATAACGTCCCTCTGTTCACATACCAACAAACGATCCAAAATGGCGGAAGTGGAAAATGATTGTTTTCCTTCAAAACGAATTCGTCTTTCTCCAGAACGAGAAGAAAACATTTTAAATGAATCTACAGAACAATTTRMTACTAAACAGRATTCTGTCGTCGACGAAGAGCCGTTTTCAGYGAACTATAGCGACATTCAAAGTTCAAATGTCGAGCCTTCGTCGTCACGTGAACAACATGGCGGCGATACTGAATTTCATAAACACGATCAGTTTGAAGGAGATGACTTTCCGAGTTGTTTTAGCGTAGAGGATGATATTGATAACACCGAAGAACATCATTATCAGCCTATAGCAGGTAATCTTTGAAGTGTTATTGAATTTTATTGAAACTAACTAAAAACAATGGGACGCCATTTTGTTTGCTAAAGAAATATTCGTCCGTCAAAWCTCRCCAAAAAGTCGCTTCATTATTTTCTGTTTATCAAATTTRAACCCATGAAAAGCTTTTAAATAAATTCATGTGATAATCGGATGCAGAAAAACCTACAAATTTGGTTGAATTGATAAATTTTCTGTTTTGGTATTTGACATTTGACTATAAATTGTTTAGGGAGGGGAGGGGTAGTCTTTCAATTCTTTCACAGAAATTAATTAATTTTCGATAATTTCGCAAATATTATTATTATTATTATTATGAATTATGTATCAAATGATTTTTTTTCGTTTTTAGCTTATAAATACCATTTCAAAAAAAACTTATTGAAAAATCATAATAAAATTTACCTTGAAAAATGTCTAAAATCTGAAGCTTAATTTGAGCGACAACAATGTTTTGTGACAAGTTGACTCATATTTCTCTGCTTTAATAACAATTTTTTGAGTTTGTAGTTTAAACAAAGAAGCGAAGCATTGGTGTTTAAAACAGTGCTTGGTTTTTYTATATTATTATTATTATAATAGTTTCAATCAAAATCAATGATATTCTTGCCACATACATGCATGTATAAAGTAACCCCAAAGCATCAGGAGACAAATCGCAGTTAATCTCAGCATGTTCATATTCTTATTGTTCTTATATATTTCTTATTGTTAAACAATGTCATTTTGATCAATACAGGGCCAATGGGATGGGTACAAAGGCAAATGAWTCTTGGTATTAACCCAAGGGAGATCTTATCCTACATGATACCTCATGCTAAAGTGGTRAGAACTCTTATATACAATTATAATGGTATTTCCTTTATCACATGGTGATATTCCACAATGACCATTTTGTGTATTTTGCAGCCATCAGACCTCCAAGATGACCATCTAACACTATGGAAGATCGTTATTGATCTATTAACATCACCTTCACCTCGCCAAAAACTTGATCACGTCAATACACTAGATGATGTCGTTAGTCTTTTAAATGGATGTAAAAATATTGTAGTTCTAACAGGTGCAGGGGTAAGTTGTTCGATTCAAATAAGAAAACATTAAATACTAAGTCAAACACTTAAGATTGTTAAAGTATGCTTATCAGGTTGAAAACATCATTCTTTACTTAAACAGTCTATTTTTTTGTGAGGAACAGGAAGCTGAAAGACTCAGTCAAGTTCAACTAAGAATAAAAACCTTYAGATCAAATACACAACCATTTAAGCATTTTGCAATGCACAAACAAAAAGTTAGAAATTAATCAAATTATTTTCAACTTTATAAAAAGCAAAATATACATTAAATGTGATGATTTGAAATTGTTATCTTTCTTAAAAGACCTGTCAATGCTATTAATCGCAAGGGGTGGGGTTGAGGACTTAGTAGGGTGTATGAAGTGACAATAGTGAGTTACATTTACCTGCAATTACAATCAAAATGAATGTGTAAAAAGGGGAGGGGGAGGGGGAGGGGGGATGAGCACAACACATAGAGAGAGGAGAGCAGAGAAATGACAATACAATACAATGGATTCACAAAATATGCAAATCTTTGGCCCTAACCCTGGCAATAAGTAATAACAATTCYCTTAACATTCATCCAATTACTTTCTAGGTTTCTGTATCTTGTGGTATACCAGACTTTAGATCACGTGATGGTATTTATGCCAGACTAAGCGAGGAATACCCTGATCTACCAGATCCACAGGCAATGTTTGATATCACTTACTTTAATCAAAATCCATATCCATTCTTTAAATTTGCTAAGGTAAGAATRCATACAGCTTTTTTCRAARGGTTGTTSAATATAYGCACACCRAATTTCAAATGAATTGATACAGTGAGTGCCTGAAGACACTGATTTATGGCAAAATGATTCACTTTTAGGAAATCTATCCTGGTCAGTTTAAGCCATCGTTGAGTCATAGATTTATTCGCCAAATAGAAAAAGAAGGTAGTCTATTGAGAAATTATTCCCAGAACATCGACACTCTTGAGCAAATTGCTGGAATATCAAATGTTATACAATGTCATGGTAAGATATAAAGATATAGAGCGGATTTCGTATGAGTGGGAAACGGACGGTACTGTACTGTGTCTGTAATCGTACTGTAACCAAATTCTAGTGCCCCATTGGTTCACCAAAATTCTGCAGGCCAGGCGCGGCAACTGTGTGGTAACCGTGCGGTAACGGTGTCCCACTCATACGAAATCTGCTCTATTATCATTACAATTGTATATCATAATTTATCGTCATTATAACTATCAAAGCTGGACCCTCGACAATATAGTATGAAGGACTATGGTGTGGTCATCTATGCAAAGTTTTGTACAAGTTAACCTATAAGAGAGTGTGATTCGCTTTAAAAAAACTGCTGCTTGATAAGGCAGAGTCAACTTTGGTATAACGTCAGCTCAGCCTTGAGAGGAGGTATTCGTATTGGTAAAATTTACTTTCATAAAGGGTAAAGTTTCCATGGGGTATTGGGGGTTTGAAGGGTGACTTTTCTTTACAATAGACCCCTTGCATGTGACGTCAAAACAGCTTCATCTGGAGGACAAAACAAAAGATTTTTATCCTCTTGGGAASTAGAWTCYATTGTTTTGTCCTCCAGKTGBAGCTGCATTCCCATGAACTGCAAGGGGTCTATAAAGAAATAAACTAGTAAACAAAATAGCTTAGGTGACTATGGCAATGTTTGTCATGCTATTTTAACTATAATGGYGATCTTTCTCATAACTTTTTTTCAGGTTCATTTTCCACTGCATCTTGTACAAATTGTAAATACAAAGTTTCCTCAGCAGATATTAAAGATGATATATTTAATCAGGTAAAATAACTAGTATTTATCCATGTTGAATGATGATAACCAAGCTTTCCTCCTTACATCCAAGATGTTAGTCTAGGCCTTGCATTGTTCAGGTTCTCAAGGTCATGTGAAATAGAGTCCAGTAGAGTCCAGTATAGCACTTGTCATGGCATGTCTTTTTACTGACTGACATAATGCTTTATTTTGAATCAGTTTGAGGTCAATAGTCCCCCTGCATGTGACATCAAAGCAGATTCATCTGGAGGAAAAAAAAAAAACAACAAAGAACTTTTACCCTCTTGAGAAATAGAATACATTGTATTGTCCTCCATTTGGAGATGCATTCCTTTGAACTGCAAGGGGTCTATGATTTATTACTTGCTTGTACAAGTAATAAACTAATTGGCATTTAATTCGTTTGATTACAGAGAATACCATTATGTACAAAATGTAAGCCACTGGAAGAAGAACTTGCTATTATGAAGCCTGGTATCCTTAATTATATTGTATGGTACACTCAGTTTATATCTGGGATGTATTTGAGGGTTGGGTCATATTCTGRTATGATTACGAAGAATAAAAAATCAGCTAGTCACATTCCTTAACTCACTATTAGATATTGTATTTTTTGGTGAAAATTTGCCATCAGATTTCTATCATCATTTAGAAGATGATTCTGAAAAGGTAACAGAAAATTTATAATAATTCATGTACATTTTGTTCATAAATTTATTCATTACATTGTTTCATTTGTTCATAAAACAATTATCCACCAATCTTTTCGTTATTTCATGTATTCTTTGATCGATCCATTTATCCATCCATTTGTTCATCCATTCACCATTTCCCATCCATTCACTTTTGTGTATTTTCAGGCTGACTTACTAATAGTTATTGGTTCCTCGTTGAAAGTACGCCCTGTAGCTCTTATACCAAGTAAGTACTGAATTAGCTGTAAAAAATGATCAAACATCCTAGTCTTAAATGGAAAAAAGTGTGAGAAATAATCAACATTTGAGATTGGATGGACATTTTTTTAAAGCAATCCTGGATTCACATTGTTCAATGTTGGTRAAATTGAAAACAACAAAMTTTATAMATGAATGCATTTCTRGTACAATTTTATTGGTAAATTTTACTGGTATTTTAACAGTAATTTATAATATTATATTCTAATGTCTTRAAACCTCKCAGGCCGCATTGATGCTGATGTCCCACAAATTCTTATCAACCGAGAACCACTTCGACACATGACATTTGAYGTAGAGTTGCTTGGCGATTGTGATGTCATTGTTTCTGAATTATGTAAGAGACTTGGAGGGWGYTGGWCAGATATTCTAGAAGGCTCKGARCCACGCCCTGTGGATGTTTCTCTCTACCCWRMWTTGAGTAATAACASTSARGCASCTATTGTCTGYGATAGCGATGAAATGCCATCARACAAAGGAAACATTGATGCTAAAGAAAATGTAAGTTTGGTTACATTGATACAATAGTTTTATCTTTGCTAATAAGCTTTAAATGTATGATTGTATCGCTTTAGAATCTGGAAGATTTGTCCAATTCAGAATCACTACCCACGAACTCATCTGATGAGRAAMARAACCAGGAAGACTTACATTCCACTCCTAACACAGATCAGGACATCAAACAAACATCTGATGAACAATCTGATATCACATCTAAGTGTCCTTTGTCTCCTGTTTCTGCCGCTGTAACATCTAATGTCCTGGAAGTGGATGGTACTAGTGTCCAGTCAGTTGGCCAAGACACTAGTTGTGTGTCTACTGAAGATAAACGAGAAGGGCTGATGGTGCCTCTACCTACAGAAAATCATAGCAAACAAGATACGCCATCTCATGATAATGAGAGTAAGTGTCAATCAATCAATCAATCAATCCATCAATCAATCAATCAATTACTCACTCAGTCACTCACTCACTCACTCACTCAATCAATCAATCAATCAATCAATCAACAAATCAATCAATCATTCAATCAATCAATCAATCAGTAAATGATTCATATTGTCTTTCAAAGATCCACCTATATTCATCTACCATCCTCCAAGCCGATACATATTCTATGGTGCTGAAATAACTAACTCCCCAGTCCACTCCCCCTTTGGTTCCCCCTTGCCTAGTGATGATGGCAACAGTGACAACTGCTCAGACAATGGCAGCTTATCAAGAGATGATTTGGAATACACCAACACAGAAGCTAATGGCTACAGCAGCAGTGGTGATGGMAGTGAAGGTTATGGCTCTGGTGTGATGTCAAATACTGACCTGACGAGTTATGATTTGAAGTTAATAACTGGTGCATTGGGTAGTTATCACTGTGTAAGTGAAGAAAACAGTGTGATGTCAGGTTTAGATTTAATAGCTGAAGGRAGTAGCGAGTACACRAAAGAGAACCTACTGAATGTTAGTGATTTTTTAGCACAGAATTGCTTGACGCAATCTGGTGTTGATCCTCTTGGTAATAGCAATGGCAGAACAGATAGTATCTCAGACATATTGAGAGATAATAGCCATTCAGATGAATCATTCCAATGTGATAGTAACTTAGATTCTTTAAATCCTGGCTGGATGTCTTAGCAGSTATAATTGTYTTGGTGCAGGGAGCCCAAAGCGTATATCAACAACAAAAAWATGCAGAGCAGTGATTGTACTTGTTTTAGTTTAACTATTCAACGTACATGTACATTTTTTTTATCTGTTAAAGTTCTTTTATTGACTAAATTGAGAGTGCTTGAATTCATTGATGTAGAGTAGATCAGGTGGACTGAGTAAAAAATTATTATTTTTTCACTGTGTTTGCACCAATTGTTGCTATGGGCTCCCTATGACCACCAACAAAGTCTTTTTACTTTCATATTAAAGCTTTTTAAAAAATTGTTTTTTTTTTTCAACCAACTTTCCTTTCAATGCAACTCAAATATTTATAGATCGACTAAAAACTGTACTTTTTCTCAATGTACAAAGACGTAAAACCATTCTCATTTTGTATAGATTTATTAAATCAACTTCACTAGCAATCAATATTCCTAAAGTATTCATATTGTACAATTTAAATCAAATGCAATATTAACCATATGGTGGATTACTATCSAGTTTGAATTCTGATTTGATTATTAGCATCTTGAGCTGAATGCTGCTACAATTTTAATATTCTGTAAATAGTTCATTATTCTGCTGCCAAAATAAACTGAYAATAGCATATTTTAGGTGGTAATGTAATCCAGTATGAATACCGTCTTCAAATCAAATATCCAGGCTATATTAAAAGATATATTATCTATTATCAATTCACTGAAGTAGTATTAATAATTTTTAACAATAATAATTATTAATAATCAATAATTGATTATAATTCSATAGCTCATTTGAGTTTTGTCAGTCAAATGTATGTATATTGGGCCAATATTTGACTAGCAATTCATATTGAAAGTGTGTTATTCTTTATCAAAAATCAGTTTTAATTTGCAAACTGTTGTTCGTGCAGGGAAGATAAATAAAAACATTATATATACAGTTTGTTGGTTTGTTATTGTTTTGGTTATTATTGCAGACGTTAAGAAATAGGTCTTGTTTAGTCCTTTCTGTTCAAATTGCAAAAACTGCAAATTGCAAGAAAGCTCCTAGCCTGYGTAGCGGCTCTAGGGGAGAGGGGAAGGGGGGAAAATGGAAGGGGAGGAGCGGAAAAATTTTTTTCTCATCCCTGCCCCCTCCCCTTCGGTTTTCCACCTCCCTCCTCCCCTAGAGCAGTTACGCAGGCTAGAAAGCTCCTTTTCTGATTATATGCAATGGAGATCACAGGGTACCCAATGCTTGGAAAAATWAATGGAAAGTGTTGATTTTTTGAAGAGCAAGGCTAAGATAATAACTTTATAGAACTTTTCTCTATCTTTTTGAAATGAACCTTAAAAAGTAAGAGCAAAAATCTAGCTCGGTTTTTGCACAAAATGCCCAAATATGGGAAATAATTGAATGCAATGTGGCCAGGTTACAACAGCTAGGGTGTGAAATCGACAAGATTCCAACATTTCATGCGATCAAGAGGTATTTGACGCTTCAAAACTGCTAAGGTAAAATTTTATTTGGATTTATTTCATTTAATGTTTTGGTTGCCATCGTATTTAAGGTTTAGGAACGAAAATTAAGCTGATTTTGCTCTTTTTAAATCGAATTTTCTTCGCGGGAAATTTAAACAAAGTTCAAGAAGTGTCTCACGTGGTAGACGTTAAGCTAATATCACTTTATATTAAAAGACTCCTATATGAAGAATGCATTAGAAGTATAAAGGTTTCAATTACGAGTTCTTCATAACTTTCAAGCAATTAAGGGGTTTATAACTTGGCAAAGGCAAAATTACYCTGCGAGCAGAGTGTATTCCCTTACCTCAATAAAAATTCGCGAAGGAAAATATATTTCCTTCGCGAATTTTTATTGAGGTAAGGAAATACACTCTGCTCGCAGGGTAAAGCAAAATACATGTGTTATTAAAAGTTTGAGAGGATAACACACTCCCTGTATTTTCAATTCAATAGGGTTTGCTTATATTTTCCTTTTTTATATGTTGTTTTTCTTATGTTTTTTTTTATAAAATTATATTTTTTTATAACTCTTCCAACAGTGAGGCATAAAGCCCAAAATGGACCAGAGCACCCCGGTGTAAGTACCACTTATTAAAGCAGATTATCATGATCAACATTATGAAATCCTATGTATTAACCAGCAATTTATGAAACTGACTTTCTACCAATATTTATATGATTATGTTGGTAAATAGCATAGCAAGAACCAATGAAAAGTAAAAATTGGGAGGAGAGGGGGGGGATTCATTGTGAACAGCTAAAAAATGTTTAATTCTTTTCTTATTAATTATAATAACAAAGTTTCAGATTTCTGCAGGGCCTGACACACCCTCTTGCCCTTTTGCTATGCCCCTTTTCTATATCAGGCTATTGTATTGATAGGTTTAAGATAATAGTCTTTGTTAGGCTTGCTGAGCTTCCCATGAAACAAGAAATAAAAATCATCACAGGCAACTAAACTTGAGCTTCAAAGAATGCATTGATCCAACCTGTCAAATCATTCAAAAACAAACTAGCAAAATATTGCAAAAAGGATTGTTGTGATGCACAGTTCTCCGGTTTCAAATTCTTTTTTGTGCAAGCTTAGCTTCATTCAAGCATAATTTTTTCTTGTCTTCTTCATAGACAGACTGTTTGCCTTTCAATAGATTCTCTGCTGAATAAAAGATATATATTACATGCTTTTGAGGTTAAGGCTGCACAAATAACATCTCAAAACTGGAGTGTTAAAAGGTGTAACACATCATCTTAAAGGGTGTGGTTCTTTGCCAAGACATTGTTCCTTTTTCTTTCAGCAGCAACAGAATTAGAAAAATCCTCTCCTAAGAAGATTGCTAAGTTTGATCATATGTTTTAAGATATTAAAACACTGTCTTGTTTTTCTTAACTACATGTATTTTGCTTAATAATTGTCATTGACTGCAGGGTAGAGTGAGTAATATAATGTCAGTTAACAAGATTGTATAGAATGGGGACATTCAAGCCTGTGGAGTAGATATTACTTTCACAAACCTGCAATAATCTAAAATATAATACCATTAAGTTATTGATTACATCATTTCTTTTATGCAGTATGTCTTTTGATTGAACTATTACCCTGGACCTTTATTTCACTAGCCTGCGTAGCGGCTCTTGGGGGACTGGGGAGAGGACAAAAGTCTCACAAGAGTCACTATGCAGGCTATTATTTTACAGGCTGAATGCTGTCACTCTGTTTGTTTTCGATGTGAAGAATGTTTCTGAGAGCAAAACAGCTGTACAGATGTCTCCCTCATTTTCTTATGTGACTATCCCAAAAGAGCTACATAGGCTTTTGGAAAGGGTGACAAAAGGTTTTTATATATGTAAAGACAAACGTCTTGTGCACATTTTCTGAATAATATGCATGAGTAACTTTTCTCTGTAAATTTTCTTTCTTGGTGTTTTAAATTTGTTGTCATAAAACACTGCAAGAAAAAAAGTTCTGGTCTTGAATTTAACTGTGAAAACTTTTATCTCATTCTGTCTCTTTAAATGTGAGAAGACCATTTGCCACCCTGGCCTACAAGAGATCCTTTCAATGCTAATGATCCCATGGATGACCACAGCAGGGCCTATCATTAAACAAAATGGACTCAACCTCTTAATAAACAAGGGAAACTGGGGGTGTGATGGTTTAATGACATTAAAAGGAATCCAACAGGGCTTTCACAGTCGATTCGGCAGAGAATATGTGAATTAATGGATTTATTGGCCTTAGGGTTTTCTTTTGAATACTATTGGTGTGAAATCATAGTTTAAAAGTAAAATTGGCTTTTCTTGTCGGGATCAACTGTGGAAGCCTCTGGTAGGAGGAAAATTAAAATCTAATAGCAGACTGTGAAGCTGGTTATACCTGAAATTCAAAAAGATGTCAATTATAATAGTTTGCAAGCAATCTGTATCAATTTTTGTATTAATTATTGAAATCTTGGAATGATGTTTCAATTATTACTGGTGAGAATTTTGGGTATAACACAGTAAAAATGGACTTGCTAAGTAAGGGAATTGGCAGTTTGGCAAATTGTCCCATAAAATAGCTGGTGCGCAAACATAAGACTGATTTTTCAAGCAAGCAGTAGTTTGATTGAGATACATAAAAATTAAAAAAATTATCTGTAAAACTTTAAAAAAAAATATTTAAAGTTCAACTGGATCGAAGCATTTAGAACTTAACTTTATATTGATTTATTTTGACTTTATTATTTAAGATTGTTTAAATGTGTTTAGGATTAATTCTGGCCTTTTATTTTTCAAAGTTTTAGTGTTCAATGATTGGCAGTTTAAAGAATGGATTTTGTTATGTTATTGTTATGGTGATTAGTTCATAGTTTATCGTTTTTGTTTATTGAGTTTAGTTTAATTGTTTATCATTTGTTTACAGTTTTATATTGCG